GTAGTTTGTTTATTTTTCGTAACAGATAAGTATTATGTTGTTGATGCCGGATATCCAAATACTAAAGGTTATCTTGCCMCATACAAARGAACAAATATTCGTTATCACATACCTGATTTCCGTCGTGGACAAACTGCAGCAATACGTGCTCCYAAAGGAGCAAAAGAGACATTTAATTATTATCACTCATCACTGAGGAATGTTATTGAACGAACTTTTGGAGTATGGAAAGCTAGGTGGCAAATACTAAAAGATATGCATGTCAATTACACCTATGAGACACAAGTAAATATTGTGCTAGCGTCGATGGCAATTCACAATTATATTATAATGAATGGAAGTTTTGATGAAGCATTTGACATGGCGCAACAAGAATCATACAACCCTCGTATTGATGTTGATGATGAAGGATGTGGTAGCAACAATGAACCACATGAAAACACAAGTTCTCGTCGTAGGAGTGACGATCTATATATGAGTGCTGTTAGAGATATGATTGCAGGAGATCTAATAGGTAGATCTAGATGATTATTTATCATAAATGATGATCTATTTTTTTGTTATTGATATTTTGGTTATAAAAGTTTGACATTTTTTGTTATTGATATTTGGGTTATAAATCTATTATTTCATCATAAATTAGTAATGGTATTGGTATAAATGTTTGTTAATTATTTTTATTGATACTAATTATTAATCTTATTGATATAAATTATTAATCTTATTGATATAAATTTTTGTTATAGATATTATAAATGATGAAAAATAAATTTTTATATGTTAAAAAATCAAATAAGTTAATAAGCAAACCCAAACACTCCTATAAGTCAATAATATAGAAGCTTGTCCTTTTTGGTCATTTTATATATATAAGCAAAATTTGCCAAACACTAAAAAACAACTTATCAGCTTATTGCAGTTTGGTACCGCTATAAGCTAATCCAAACATTTTTTACAAAACTCCAGTTTAATACCGCATAAGTTAATAAACACTTTTACGAAAAACATAAGTTGTTTTAAATAAGCAATCCCAAACACCCCCTAAATTAAAATAAGTTACTTTTTATTGCACTTTGGCGTTGAGAGGAAAACGTAAAAGAAAACCTCTTAAACTTTCTGGACGCCCAGATCTGAGGGGGGAATGATCAAAACGACACCAAAAGTATGACAAGTTCCCAACCAACACTGCACCACTACCAGATGACCATCACCGGCGACGATTCTACCACAACTGCTACTACTCCGTCGACCTCCGAGACCAACTGGACTGTGTTATGCGGTTCTCTCGATTCTGCAGTTACGTTCGAGTCTTTTGATTTCCCCATCGACTCAGAATTCACGGCCAGGAAACCACCACTCCTTCTCCTACCACCTTCTTCCTCTGACTTTGAACCTTGCGAGATCAAACGTGAGCTATCTATCTGATTGTTATATGTGTCTTATGTTAATTAGTCGATTGATTTAGTTTTTGGTTATTTAGATGCGTCTTATCGGCGCCTATGTATGTTCTTTTAAATGCAGAAACATAGATTTTTGGATATTCAGTTTCTAATTCGTGTATCTAGGTGATGAATGTAAGTATTTTATGTTCCTGGTGATGAAGATTTATAAGCCTAGAAATACTATGCATCCTATGAAATTGTTTCAGTCGTTGTTTAATATGAAAATCACTGTCTCAATGTTTTAATACGAGTCAGCCTTTTTTCTTTACCCCAAGTACTTGGAGCATAGAAATCTTGCCCCCAAAATAGGCTTAGAGGTTAAACAAATGTGAGTCCCTGGGATCAGACTCTTCCGGCACTCTTGACTAATTGAAACAGTGTTTGCTGAACAATAATTCTTTTTGATTCATATGGGATAAAATATTACTGTGAGACCCAGTTGTCTATTGTTTTTGGTGTTGGGGAACAGAATTATGCTATGCAACGTAATGGGGGTATTCAGGTTTCACCTGTTGAACATGATCGTCATGTATCTTCTTCAATGGTGCTGAATCAAGCAATTCCTCTTTAAAAATATAAAACTATGTTACATGAACCTTGCACAAAGTGATCTAGATAGTAATGTGTACAAGAACCTAAGATCCATAGAAGGCCCAGCTTTAGTATTTTTATATCATGGATACACTTCAAATACATATGCCGGATACATTATATTATGTTATTGTTGATCTTTTTGACAATTGTGAGATACCTTCCAATGTTCATATTCAGGATATGGTTGGTGGCAGTTTCAAATATTTGAAAAGTTTCCTTCAATCAGTAGCATCAGAAAATTCTTTCTACCCCGAAATTGGTTTTTCAGGCCACATATATTATAACCCTAATTGAGATGACCTATATCGAGCAGAAGAAGAATAGAAACATCTGCCAAATGGAGTTTGTAAGTATCATGATTATCCATGTCCTCTTCAACTTTTTCTTTGCAAGCAATTGCAACTAGATCTTTTCTTCTAATTGGCAAAGAAGGAGGGGGGGGGGATGGGGGAGTTCTATTCTGTGATCTTCAAAATTGTCACCAACTAGGGACTGGATTGGATACAAAAATCAGGAGGTAATCAATTTTCTGGAGAGACGGATGTGAATGACCAGGATATTCAAGTGAAGTGCTTGATAAATATTGGTGAATAATACCCATGGAAACCATGATAGGCTGCAATAGCAAGTAGCAGATGATGAAGTTGCGGAGTTTCACAGACAGCTTCCCTGGACTATACTTTTTTTGAGATTGATTTAACCCTTGAAAATTTTGTAACCCATAATTTAGTCATAAACAGTTTGTTCAAACCCCTGAATCATAGACACATAGTATAATGCTATGTGCCATATTAATGTTTTTACTGCTATCTTGGTAAGCATCCATCTACAATATTAAAATTTGAAGGCGCTAATGTGCTTTTTAATAATGATGTCCTAGCTTTCTAAAAGAAGATGTCCCTAAAGTGTGTTGTTTCCCGTGTCAGTCTCAATACTTAGCCAAAAGATACGACATCTCCTTTTTTTAATCTTCAAACTTCCTGTGTCCAAGTATTTGAAGTGGATAAGTTTAAAGGACGTAGGTCAACAAGTTAACTATAGGTACACAGGCTTACATGCACAGCCTTCTTTTGGTTACCATCATCAATTCTAATTTTCTTATATTTTTGGTCAAGGGAAGCTACTTCTTATTATAAAGTAACCTCAGGATCTAAGGGTTGAAGTCAGAAGGGAAGAGAGAAAGATTGCTTGGTTCCACTGGATAATAAGCATGTTAGCGTTTGTGGATGCTGACAATGCAACTCTGAGACAATGCTGATCTAGATGCCTTTCGCTGTAGGACTCTTTGAGTGCTGATCATGTCACATAAACATATTACATGTCTGTAGGATAAAGATGGGTTTGAAGTAGCACTACTCTAAAACATGAAATACTGCAGAAGATGGCAAAAAGATTTATTGTTGAGATGCATTATACAGGAATGATATAGTAGACGATTGGAATCCTTGATCTATCCTAACCTATTTATGTGAAATAACCATGTTAATTTTGACGTACACCTGAAAGGGAGTGGAGTGAGCAATGATATCTAGACTTTCAGGTGGAAACTAATATGCTTTGTAGTCTTCACTTGTATTTTATCCTTTCTTCAATTCTGATGTGGTTTAGTCGTTAATTTCAGTAGTATGATATTGTGAGCTTTTGGCCTAATTGTATAGAGGTCCTTAGCATGCAGATAACTGATTTTCTTGAAAGAGCATATAATGCAATAAGTTAATGCTAAAAGATGGAATGATCAGAATCAGCACTCTTTTGCTGATGGGAAATTGGAACCTTGTGTATTGGTTACCACATGTTGCATAAATAATTATTCTTTCTTTAATCAAGAATATTAAGGGTTGGAGGAAGTAGCTCTATACATATATGAAGTACTTGTACCGTACCTCTATTGTACAAGTGCTTAACTAACTTACATTTTTCTTAACAACTTTTTATTTGGATGCATGGTTTGGTTATAAAGTATCTAACAATTTAACATACGGAAATTTTTATTTGCTCTGTTAGGGAGTAGCTAGCTCACTTTTTGGTACAGTGAGTATTGGGTCACTGGAAATGCCCCAAAATGCCTAGATCATTTGCATTCAGGTCAATAATAATGATCGTTATTTAGAATTCGTTGTCTAAATATTTAATGCACAAGTTCCGTTTTCTTCTCTTCCTCGAAAATGTAATTAGACTTTGGTCATTATCCCTGTTGTTCTTTGGGACTTATTGTTGCTTTTTTGTTTTAGTTTTTTATTTGTGCAAAACATTCGTTCTTCTAGAAACCTTCATGGCTCAATCTGACCAGTTTGTTAGACAATCTTCATTCTTCTTGCAGTAAATTTCACTCAGAAGCACGAAATTCGTCAGGTCTATGTCAGAAGTACAGCTCGTGTATATGAAATATATTATGCACCTGCTCTGCAGAGTGAAAATGAGTATCTATGTACTGTTCGATGTAGTGCTGCTTCTGTAGAGGACAATTTGTTCCCTGCAACTGATGTGAAAGAAGCTACTTCTGTAAACTTGCTGGGTGCGAATGGGATATTACGGAAAGGAAGAGTGCCAGGTGAGAATAACATTGGCAGCAACGAAGATGATTGGGTGGAAGTTAAACTCCCTGTTGGTCGAGTGGATGATGGAAATACTTATTTGCCAAACCAGACTTCGAACAACATCAGAAACCACCAGGTACAATCTAAAAATGAATTAAGAAAAATTTAGGATACCACCAACTAGATAAGTAGGGTGTTCCCAGTTAATAGATCTACAAGTCCTTTTATATGATACTACATGGGCATTTCATATTCTTGCTAGGAAATCAATGTGAATCGAGATGGTTTGAATATTGCACTTGTCATTTATACAGAAACATATACCTTACTGAAAATGGAAATTACAACTATTGATGATATGTGCAACTTGCCATTGAAGGTGAAAAAAAACAAAATCCTGGCAGAAGATATTAATAAGGGTCAGGTAGAAGGACATTTTTTAAGTAGAACCAAATAGAGCGGATCAGCAGTTGCCTTTTCTCTTCTTTTTGTTAGTAAATCCCGAGCTTTTGCAGTTTGAGATTTTGATAGGCTTATAACCGATGCTGTAATTTGACCAGGCATGGACATAAATCAGATTGTAATGAACTAGGTATAGTTGTAAACACGATGACGTGGAAAGGTAGGACTCAACAGACTATTGCTTCTTGATTTAAAAGGAAATATCAACATATGTATACCAATGCATGGGGATATCTTCTGATACACACAAACGGTTAGCATTTGGGATCACTACTTCACATGCTGTAAAATTACTAATTATATAATAATGAAAATGCGAGTCGAACAATGTGTGTGTGTATGTATAGTTCAAAAAGAACGATGTTTCTAACCATTTATCGACTTCTCTGTTAACAAATCATCATATTTTCAAGAATGCAAATTTGACTCTGAACTCTGAAGTCGACAAATGTTTTTTTTTTTTGAAGGGGGAGGGTTGTTAACCAAAACCATTAGACAAACTTGACACAGAGACTGGACTTAGGATCCTTTATTATGCATAAGAGGTATATGGAGATCTTTCCTTGTTGAAGGACGGCTGAAATCAAGCCAAGGTCAGATTGATTGTGATTTTGATTCAGCTTCCTGCAATTCTTTCATTCTCCAACCTGATGGTAATTGGTGAGTTGAGTAACAAGGCCTCCTATCGATCACTCCTTAGTTTGAGGGTTCATATGGCAAACGTGGCAAGATGTTCATTTGTTCGAGTTAGGAAAACACTCACTTTTCTCAACTTCAGTGTTCAATTTGCATTTTTGTAATACAAGCTCTACTTGTCCAATTGCTTCAAATACTGTTCACTTTTTCTCTGAAACAGGCAGATAGTACAATGGTTTCACTGCAAACATAACCTTCGAGATATTGACTTCATTTTCGTTTGATCTTTTCTATTTGAATCATCTGATTCCTGGATCACTATATCTTCTGTGTTGAGAATTTCATTGAAGAAGTTTGTGTCAAGATATTCAGCAAACTAAAATTCTTTAGGTAGATTTCAAATAATGTTGGTTTTATTGTATTTTACAGGATTTCTATGAGGCTACAGCCGAAATCAATGACTCAGAGCCTTGTATCTCACTCACACTTCGTTTGCTATCACTTCAAAGTAAAGGCTGTGTATATGTTGACGAAGTGTACGTGTTTGCCGACCCTATTGATACAAACGATTCCGAGAATCAGACAGTAAATGTAGAAAGCTCAGCTGGAAGTTCACTCATGACTATGCTTGTTCCCACACTTCTAGGATTGTCAAAATCTAGATCTCTCCAGTTACACGATCAACATAATTCCAAATCCCTTGCAAAACCGATTGAAATTGAGTCAGAACCAGCCACTTCAACTAATCCAGTTAATCATTCTGATCAGCATGATGAGAAGTTGCTAAAACAGAGTGAGGACAAAGCTGAATTGAGTCAGTTCCAAGTGCCAGCTTCAGCTTTGGCTTCGGTTCCAGAGGAAGATAAAGTATGTGATTTGACAAGAAGAAACGGATTTTCATATAATCGAGCCGAAAGCTTACTGGAACAACTTGTGTCACGAGTGAGTAGAATTGAAGATATCTGCATGAGGTTTGAAGAGAGCATGTTGAAGCCAATAAACAACATGGAGGCAAGACTCCAGCATGTAGAGCAGCAGGTTGAATTACTTGCCAAAAACACCCGCTGTCCAGTATCACCCTCTTGTCTAAGTCTTGGACCGAACCCTAGATCAATAAGCAACGATGGAAGCCATTTTCAATTTTCTGGTGGATCCGACTCAGAAAAAGAGGGATCTGTCTCAAACGAGACCAATAAACTACCTAAAGGTACTCAGGTTCACGAAGGTCTTATGGCTACTGACCTGGAGTCTCCATGTTGTGATGAAAAAGAGGAAGTGAATGATGTTTCGGAATCACCAAAGAAGGAAAAACCGAAGAAATCTATTTCAATTGATGACGCGTTGGCTGCAGCACTGGCTGGATTTTCATCTTTCACTAAAGCCGATGATAGTCATGTGGTTGCACCCCTTGAATCTCCAGAAGAAGAGTCTTTGAATAGTAACCAAGCTCCTATAGATACAACTCTTGTATCTAATAGCAATGGCGATGCTTCAATTTGTTGTGGATCTCTGAACGCTACTGCCTCTGAGTTAAGGGAGGAGGACGAAGATACCACAAAATCTAATGAATCTTTGAACGTATCTGTTCCTGAGTCTACAACTTCTTGTGATGCTTCCACAGAGATTCCGGATGATAGTTTTTGCTTACAAGAAACATCTAAAGAAGCTACGGACCCCACTCACGAAAATCACAAATCTGATGCTGATCTTGGTAAACAAGACTCTATTAGAGCGGTGAATTTTGACAAATCCGACATCCTCAAACATTTCCCTGATCAGTCCCAAGATGCCGTAGAAGTTAAGGATGGATCTGAATCTATAGATTTTGAATCTTCTATCCTTGAGGTGAAGTTTTCTTCTTCGGAGAACAGCAGTCTCATATCCGGCCTTGAATCCCTTCTGTTCTACACAGATGATCCCACTACTGATGAAGGTGTATTGATTACTCCAAAATTGAATGTGTGCGATCTAGAGGATAAAACTACTACATCAAATGCAAACGATCTACTGGTGGAGTTGAACGGTGATCATGGCGGCGAAGAAATGCAACAGGATCTTCCGCCTGTTCAACAGGAAACATCTTTTGCAAGTCTCATTTGATTCTCTTTCGGTGAGGAATTGTTTCCTATATCACATACGACTTATATTTATATCACATCTACAACGAAAACCTGTGCTATCCGTGTTACTTAGTTTCGAACTAAACATTGCTTTTGCCCGATTATGTTCATGAGGTAGTGTGAAGTAGAGACTTAGATCCCCTTGGTGCTGCAACAATCAAGCTCGAGCTTTGGATCTCTCCAAGTTTGCAACCCTTTTGAGATAGCTCAAACCGATAGACCCTGGGTTTGCTTATAAGTGATCATTAGTTAGAGTCCCCTCAGGGGCACTGAAGGCTGTTAACTTGAGGTCAAGCTGGTCTTAACAACAATGGTTATAAATACAAATAAAAAGTCAGCCTAAATTCAAAGCTTAGATCATGCTCAACTATTAGGTTAGAAAGATCCAATGTAGAAGTCTGTGTTTGATGATGTACCAAATAACAAGCAAATTAAAATGATGAAATCCAATGTCACTACGGCAATTTCTTAGTTAATAAGAAATTATGGGGTTGTGAGTATAATTATTTATTAGGAAATTGGTTTTTGATAATTGTTAATGTAACATCAATACTTTTTGTTGATGTGATGATAAATATTTTATGAAAGGGGTTGTGAAATATAACCCTATAAGAATTCATACCCCTCCTACTCTACTCTTCTCACACATAAATTCATAATCATTTTTAAGTTTTAGTTTACATGTTATAACCTTTATAATTTGTTATTTAATTTATTTTATATTATTTATTTATTTTTTATTTTATACCTTTATTATATTAACGTACATAATTGTATATTGACTTAAATATGTTAAAAAAGTACAATTCTTTTTTAACAAATTACATTGTTATAATCATCTTGTCAATATCTTTAAAATGAGCCTAATATTGAATGTTTTTGGATTTAATCATATTATTATATAAAATAAATACTAGAAAATTGTTTTTAGTACTTGTACTTTATAGTTTATATCCTTATATTTATTTATTTATTTATTTAATTTTTTTATATTCTTTATTTTTTATTTTACACCCTTATTTTTTAACATACATAATCATATACTAAATAAAATACATCATAAAAATAATATTGTTTATCTAATACAAATTACACCGTTATAATCACCTCGTCAATACCTTCAAAATGAGCTAAATATAAAATATTTTTGGGTTTAATCATATTATTAAATATCGTAAATACATAAAACATATGAATTATTTGTAATACTTACACTTTTAGCCCTTATAATTATTTATTCAATTTGTTTTATATCTCTTACTTTTTCATTATTCATTTTACACTCCTATTATATTAACATACTAATCATGCCTTTAAGATCTTTTCCATTTAGATCTTTTGACTCATGAAGCCAACCAACATCAATCAATTTGATACTTCCATTCAATCTATCATCTTCATATCAGTGAACCTAGAAAAGCAATCGATTCCAACCTGATATAATATCCTAATTTTTTCCACACTTACCTTATTCGATATCAACTCTTACGAGCTTGATGTTTCCACGCATCATTCAAAATAACCGATGGATTATGATCCTAGTATTAACTTCTTTAGCTCCGACTTCTTTCTACAATTGAACAATCTTCAAAGAGGTCTATCCCTCGAATAATCGAAGACAGCGACTGAGTTTGACCAAAGATAGAGACAATAACGTGGGTTGGGGGAGACATATACGGGTTGCGGTGACAACAATGACGGGGGAGACGATAACAATTAGAGATGGGTTGATTGGGGGGGGGGGGATGTGAGACAGGAATAGGATGGGATGGTTAGGTATATGTTCTTTTTTGTTTTTTTAATTGTTATTTAGGTTAGTCGTTGTCATTCTAGGTAATAAGGACTTATTTATCAGGTTTCAAAACGTAACACCCATGATTTTCAGAATTCCATTTATGATTAATCACATTATCGAATGGTATTAAAAATGATAAATTATGAGGGTTTTACATAATTATCATCTTAGGATGGTTGGAGATCTATTCGGGCACGAAAAACGAAGAAGTCGTGCGACCATAGACTAATGTGACTTTCCATGCGACTTTTGCCACGTGAAAAAAGTAACGTTAAGGAGCTCTAAAGGTCCGGGTTTTTGGGGGTTTTCCGCATTTCTTCACCCCACCTCTTCCCCTCTACCATTTTCTCTATAAATTGAGTTTTTGGGAAGCTTGAGGTCCGATTTTAAGGGCCATAAGAAGCATTTCTTGGTGATTTGAAGTTCTTGGAATGTTGAAGGTAAGATCTAAGCTACCATATTTTGATCTAGGGTTCGGTTCCTTTTCACCCTCAACTCTCATTTCTTCTTTGGTGGTATATTTTTTGAGATTTGGGAGTAAGTGAGGTGTTCTTGAGAGTTATGCAACTTAGATCTAAAGTTCTAGCTTGAGGATTTCACGTCGTCACCAAAGGAAGCTCAAGATTTGAGGTAAAACCTAAATTTAGCATAAATCTAGCACGACGAGTTAAAGTTGCTTTGTAAATGCCAAAAATGTCTATTTTGAAGTTTCAAGTGTTTTCCTTGAGATTTATCAAATGTGTTGGTGTTTGGTGAAATTTCGTTCTTGGTATATTTCATTTTACAAAATATTGAGGAATGCTTATAATTGAGGATTTTGGATATTTTAATATCAAATCATAAGGTGTGTGGATTATTATGCATTATTGATATATTGATTTTATGAATCATTAGAAATTACATATGATTTGAGTTTGTTGGGTTTTGTGTTATTTAGGCCATGAGATTTATTAAACTCTTCGCATGCATTTTGGAGTTTATAATGACTCATTTTGGATTAGTCAAACGAGTGGAAGAGCTTCTTGTCTTAGATTTGAGATAAATACATGTTTTGGGGCTTTTGCCCTAAAGTAAGCACTAAGGTCGTTTTATGGCCTTAAAGTGAAACTCGACAACATTGATACATAGTTTACTTTGTGTTCGCCACATTCAATGGATATGGGTCTCCCCCATTGCCAAAAAGTGTTATTTTTGGATAGTGTATTATCCATGGTTTCAATATTGTTTTGGGGGTATGGAGTGTATCCATAGATTCTAGTTTTGGTATCTTGGAACTTATCCATGTTTTAAGATTTAGATATTAGAGTTTTTATCAATGTTTTCAATATTTGAATATTAAACTTTTTTCACAATTTGAGTGAATATTGGGTTTTGACTTCATGTTAAATGGGTGCTTTGGTTCACGAGTTTTATTACGAAAGTGGTGTGTTTTGGAAAGGTGTCGCTTTTATATTTAATACATATCATTTTGGAAATTGTGATTTAAATAGCATTCTTTCTGTTTTATCGTTTTATAAATATGATGAAAACTGCTTGAATTCACTAGGCGTAAGCCTAACGTTTTTTGTTTGTCAGCATGTGCACCAGGTCCTTGTGGGGGTGGTATTAGCGACACTTGATCAAAGTCGAGTGCTAGTTGAAGACTCACAAAGCACTTAAATCTTTGGGACGTTTTCTTATCGTTGGAGATGACGATTTTCAGTGAGGGTTATAATAACACCAGTTTCAATCTAGTTTTGTTTGGAGTTATATTCTAACTCGTTGACTTTAACTTTATTGTATCATTGTTTGTAAGTATAAAGAAGTTTAAGGAGGATTGTATTGACTTTAATGTTCTATAAAAAAAAATTAAATTTGTCGCTCTTTTTTGAGGGTATTACAAGTTGGTATCAGAGCATAAGTTTGAGAGATTTAGGTATTAATTTAGGATGCTTAAACTCAAACTAGCGTCTTTCTAAGTGAAGGAAGGTGAAAACACACGATTAGACACTTTAAGATAGAATATTCTGAGGTCGATAGATACACTAGCACCGAGAATCATGACGATGATAGCAAGGATCCTTATGTATGATATGTTCATATTTGCACGTGGCGAACGAATAGAAAGGTCAAAGTGCTATTATGAATTTAAAGTTACATGTATGTGCTTGACTCACCTTGATGTGATGACTAATGGGGGTAACAAGTGTTTTTCGGTTGGAAGAGTAACAACATGTTGACGTTTTGTAGCGTTGTCGTCTTGTGTGACAGCTAAGTATGTTGATCATAACCACAAGGGTGGTGCCTGATTGGTTTGAGTTTGGCTCCAAAGGTCAAAAGTACCAGGAGGTCCCAGGTTCAAATCCAAGGAGGAATAAAAATCCCCTTGTGGCCATGGAGGTTCAAATGCGGTGACTTCGGGCTATCTGTAAAGCAGATGGTCTCCCTGAGATTAGTCGGCTCGCATAGCGAGTTGGATATCCAGGTTAATAAAAAAAAGTATGTTGATCATTTTAAACTGACTATTGTGGGCCAGGGAGATTGGTTAACTTTGAGGCTTAGACTTGTGGAATCACCAATGATTTGAGAAATTGTAAGGTTGATAGGTAGGATTGTGGTTTATCGTCTTAAAAATATGTATTGATCTTCTTTATCAATATAAGTTTTTATAAAACCCCTTCTACAAATTGTTATCTATAAACTCTTGTAGATCCGATTGGGACCAACATTATTTTTAATTGTTATGATAGTAGTTGCTAAATGTGCTTCTATATTATTAGACTATTACCTAATTTTCAAGGAGGTTGTAATGGAATTATCTTTTCATGAAGAATACATTTATTTTGATAGAGATCTATTTTTAAAAGGGAGCGCGACAATGTGATTGTAAAGATCTATTTTTTAAGGGAAGAGTATGTTGTTTTGACAGATTTTTTTTAGGGAGAGAAATCAAGTATAACTGTTGAGAAAATCTGATTCATTTCTTCAGGGGAAGTATATCTGAAGAAGTTTTTGTTTACTGATTTGTCTTGTTTGTAAAGGATAAAATTTCAGTCTTTGATTGTTAATGATGCTCGTGATTCTCCTGATAATCATGAGGGGGAGAAATAATATCAAAGACATATAAAAGAAATATCAAAGACAAGGGAAAAAATAATGTTTGTATCAAATGATGATGTAGAAGAGTGTTGATATTTCTAAGTGAAGCTTAACTCATAAATTGTAGAATCAATGTAATGAAGAGAAAGTTTAAATCTAAACCTTTTGAATCTAAGGTTAAAAAGCCATAAGATTTAAAGATTGTAGATGTGATGAAAAAAGATTGGTACTGATTTGAAGTTGATGTTGGTGATTTGTGAACGATTCTTTGGAAGTTTGAAACATATTTGTTTGAAGAGTTGTTGATTATTCAAAAAAGAAATTTGAAGACCGAAGATTATTTCAAAGAGAAGATTTTGATTTGAAGATGGTTTGTTGAAAAGTGAAGATTGTTATTTTCAGATTCATCTTATTCAAAGGTTGATAAAGGTTGATCGTTGATGTGCTAAAATCGTAAGTGTGCACACAGTGGGCATAAAATCCCCAAAGTGGCGGTGCAAGTGCACGTCGACACTAAGATCGCTTCAAGTAATAAAGTGGTATAGTACCAAGATCGTTTCCATAGGGACTGGACTTACTGAGAATCAGAGACTTTCATGAACTTCTTGAACAATGTTTCGGGTTGAGAAAATATTTGAGTTTTGATTGGTGCAAAGCTTTAAAATATGAAATAAACCTTTAATATTAAAAGATGGGTATGAGTGTAAGCTTTGCTTAAGAATAAAGCAGGAACGACTTGGTTAGAAACCCATGAGATTTCTATAAGAACTCATTTCTCTCGAAAGTGAATTCTTATATACTGTGCCCACAGAGTGCCCACAAAGTGTCCAAAATTATCAATCTTAAACTTGCCGATTTAGCTACTAGATAAAAAGATATCTGGCTCCACTAGTCTGAAGATTTATACTCACAACGTATTGTAGCATAAACTCGACTAATATCTGAATAAAAGCTAAAAACATGCAAAACCCGCATCTCTGYGTGATTATCAAAGACTCTCTCGAACCTTTGTGCATCATCTAAGCCGTATTTCAGATCCGCCCATTTCTGGATCAAGGATCTAATATTAACACTTTAAAGTGATCGGCTTATCCGCGTTGAATTTACGTCCCGACTTAAATGACCAAGCTTAGGAATCAATAAAAAATGGCAACACCCAAGTGTGCCCTTAAATCCTTAAGCTTGACTCACACCCACACCCAAAGGGGTGCTTAGCTCATAATGAAATTAGAAAGCATAAYAGAAATAGAAGAAGAAAGCTGCATAAGAAATACTTGAACTGAAATTAAATACTTACTGGTGCCCACAGAGGGCACACAATGGAGTGGCGAGAATAAAAGCTAAATTACGAAATTTAAATTACAAACTGAATATAAACTAATTCTGCTACTACAAAGCTTTAAAGAAGATGCTCCAAGGTGCTGGTGGAAAAATTGGTGTTGAGATGGATTGGAGATGCCTCAAATATATAGGGGGAAAGGT